AAGACCTTAGTGAAGGTAGGTTAGAAAGGAAAGGATATTGACTCTAATACTTGGAACTGGTAAAAAAAAAAAAAAAGAAAGAAAGAAAAGAAAGAAAGAAAAAAAACAGAGAGGAAAGGACAATGTGAAGTAAGATAATTAAGGCATTTTTAAAGGAAGATGAGGCACTGAAGACTAATGAAGAGAAGGAAAGGGATTTGTGAGATAAGGAAGGGAATAATTTTGGGTAAGGGGAGAGAAGGCCTGTGAGGTGAGCAAAGGAAAGACATTGTGGAGAGAGGAGAAATGAAAGGACCTTGATTGAAGGTCAAGAAAAACTTTTGGAGTGGTAATGAGGGAGGGAAGACATTTGTAAGGTTAAGAGAAGGAAGGCCTTTTTGAGGTGAAATGACAAGAAGGAAGGCCTTTGTAAACCTAAGTGAAGGAGGGAAGTTCTTTGAGAAAAGAGGTGAGGGAGTTTAGTGCTATGTGAGGAGAGGGAAGTTTGTACTTTGTGAGAAGACTTGACGGCAGTACGCCTTTGAGGGGGTAGGTGAAGAAGGGAAGTCGATCCTCACGTGAGGATAGGGGAGGCAGGGAAGGCAACCATGAAAAAAGGAAAGGTCTTTGTGAGGGGAGATGAAGGAGGTTACAACTTTGTGAGGAGAAAATGTAGAAGATTTTGGTAGAAAAGAAGGAGGGTATACCTTTGTGAGAGGAGGTGAGGGAGGTTAGAACTATGTGAGAGAAAGTGAAGCAGTGAATGTATTAGTGAGGGAAGAAAGGCCTATATCAAGGGAGGTGAAAGAGGTTATTACTTTGTGAGGGGATGAAGGAAGAAAGGCCTTTGTGAGGGGGGGTGAGAGAGGAAGGTTTTTATGAAGGGAGATGTGGGAGAGAAAGAATTTGAGTGGAGAGTTGAAGGATTAAAGGCCTTCATGAATTAAATGAGAAAAGGAAGGACTTTGTGAGAAGAGGTGCAGTGGGAAGTCCTTAGAGAGAGAGAGAAAGGAAAACATTTGCAAATGAACATGAGGGAGGATAAGACTTTTTGATGGGAGGTGAGGCTGGGCAGGCCTTTGTGAAGAGAGGTGAGCAAGGAAAGATCCTTGTGAAGGTGATCAAGGAAGGAGTTTGAATAGTGAAGGTCAGTAAGGTTAGAGGTGGAAGACCTTTAAGAAAGGAGCTGATAGAGGTTAGTACTTTCAGTGGTAAGGTGAGGAAGGTTAGTACTATGTAATGAAGGTAATTAAAAGACAGCCTTGGGAGAGATGAAAGAGAGAATCCATTTGCAAAAGAAAGAAAGGCCTTTGTGAGAGGAGGTGAGGGAATTTAGTACTTTGTGAAGGGAGGTTAGAGAAGGAAGCCCTTCATAGAAGACCTATAACAAGTAAAGGGATTGAAACACTAATCAAAAACTTCCCTTACAGTAGGGAAATTATAGTTAACAATAAGTTATTGTATATTTCAAAATAGATAGAAGAGAAGAATTATAATATTCCCAACACAAAGAAAAGAAAAATGTTTGAGATAATGGATATCCCAATTACCCTGATTTGATCATTACCCAATGCATACATATATCACAATATCACATATACCCCCAAAACATATATAACTTATCAATAAAAATTAAAAAAAACTCTCCCAACAAAAAGAAGTCCAGGAGCAGATGGCTTCACTGGTGATTTCTACCAAATATTAAATAGAAGAATTAATATGGATCCTTCTCAGACTCTTCCAAAAAATAGAAGAGGAAGGAAAACTTTTTAACTCATACTATGAGGCCAGTATCAACCTAATACCAAAGCCAGACAAAGACACCACAAGAAAACTACAGATAAATATCACTTATGAATGTAGATGCAAAATTCCTCAACAAAATTCCAGCAATATGCAACACCATATTAAAAGGATTATTCATATTGGAGTTTATCCCAGGAATACAAAGAAGGTTAACATAAGAAAAGCAATCAATATAATACACCATGTTACTAGAATGAAGATAAAACTCACATCTCAATTGATGAAAAAAAAGCATTTGACAAAATCCAACATCCTATCACTATAAAATCACTCATCAAACTCAGAATAGAAGGAATCTTCCTCAACATGATAAAGAACATTTATGAAAATTGAACATCTAACATCACAATCAATGTTACAAGATTAAAAGCTTTCCCTCTAAGACAAGGATGCCCACTTTCACCACTGCTATTCAACATTGTACAAAAAGTTCTAGCTAGAGCCGCGGTCCCCAACCCCTGGACTGCAGATCGATACAGGTTGGTGGCCTATTAGAAACCAGGCCGCACAGCAGGAGGTGAGCAGCAGGCAAGCCAGTGAAGCTTTATTGTATTATAGCCATTCCCCATTGCTCATATCACCGCATAAGCTCTGCTACCTGTCAGATTTGTGGCGTTATTCAATTCTTATAAGAGCACGAACCCTACAGTAAACTGTGCATGGGAGGGATCTAGGTTGTGTGCTCTTTATAAGAATCTAATGCCTGATGATCTGAGGTAGAGTTGAGGCAGTGATGCTAGTGCTGGGGAGTGCCTGCAAATACAGATTATCATTAGCAGAGAGGTTTGACTGCACAATAAATGTAATGTGCTTGAATTATCCCGAAACCATCCTCCCCACCATCCGTGGAAAAACTGTCTTCCATGAAACTGATCCCTGGTGCCAAAAAGGTTGGGGACTCCTGAACTAGAGAAATTAGTTATTAAGAACAAATAAAAGGGCCAACTAAAAATATATAGAAAAAATTAGCTGGGCATGGTGATGCATGCCTGTAGTCCCAGCTACTCTGGAGGCTGAAGCAAGGCAGTAAGATCGCTTGAGCCCAGGAGTTTGAGGTCACTGTGAGCTAGGTTGATGTCACAGCACTCTAGGCCAGGCAACAGCATGAGACTCTGACTCAAATAAAAATAAATAAATAAATAAAAATAAAAGCCATCCAAATTGGAAAGGAAGAAATAAAACTATCTCTATTTACAGACAACATGATTCTTTATCTAGAATATCCAAAAAAGGTTACAAAACCCTACTAGAACTAATAAACAAATTTAGCAAATTTACAGTGTACAAGATACACATGTAAAAATCAGTTGTGCTTTTTATACACCAGCAATGAACAATCCAAAAAGGAAAAGAAAAGTATTCCATTTGAAATAGTATCCAAAAGAATATCTAAGAAAAATTTAACCGAGGAGGCTAAAGACATGTACATTGAAAACTACAAAATATCGCTAAAATAAATTAAATAAGACATAAATAAATGGAAAGATATCCCATGTCCTTGGATCAGAAGACTACATATTGTTAAGATGGCAATACTGCCCAAGGTGATCTACAGATTCAATACAAACCCTATTAAAATTCAAATAGCTCTTTTTCGAAAGAGCTATTTGAAAGCTCACTCACAGAAAGCTCACTCTCAAATTTATGTATAGTTGCAAGGGGCCTTGCACACTCAAAACAATATGGATACAGAACAACAAAATTGGAGGACTCACACATTTTGATTTCTAAACTTTCTACAAATCTGCAGTAATCAAAATAATATGGTACTAGCATGGGGACAGACACATAAACCAATTCAATATAATTGAGAGTCCAGAAATAATTCATAAATGTATAGCCAACTGACTTTTGACAAGGGTGCCAAGATCATTCAATTGGGGAAGAATTGTCTCTTCAACAAATGGTGCTGGGACAACTGGCAAAAGAATGAAGCTGGACCCCTAACATACACCATACACAAAAATCAACTCAAAATGGATCAACAATCTAAGACCAAAAACCATTAAACTCTTAGAAGAAAACATACAAGTAATCTTCATGACCAAGAAAGTGAAAAGGCAGCACACAGAATGGGAGGAAACATTTACAAAGTATATATCTGATAAGGGTCCACTATCTAGAATATATAAAGAATTTTTACAACTCAACAACATAACCACAAGAAATTCAATTAAAAGTGGTCAAAGGATTTGAAAGGACATTTCCCTAACGATATACAAATAGCCAACAAGCATATAAAAAGATGCTCAACATCATTAGTCACTAGAAATATACAAATGAAAGCCATAATGAGGTACTACTTCACACCCACCAGGATGGTTATAATTTTAAAAGGGTGGGGATAGATATCACATTTTGGTGAAACTGGAACCCTCGAACATTGTTGGTGGAGATGTAAAATGGTTTAGTCACTTTGTAAAACAGTTTGGGACTTCCTCAAAAGATCAGTGGAGTTCCCATGTGACCCAGCAATTTTACTCCTAGAGAACTGAAAACATAACTGCTCAAGAACTTGTACATGATGCTTATAGCGGCATTTTCCTAATAGCCCAGAAGTGAAAACAACCCCAATTTGGTAAATTTGATAAATAGATAAAATATAGGATATCTATATGATGGAATACTATTCAGCCATAAAAATGAAGTACTGCTTGGGGCTGGGGAATTGGAAGTGACTAGTTAATGGGTATAGGTATTAACTTGTGGTGATTGAAGTATTTTGAAACTAGATAGAAGTGATGGTTACATAACTATTACATGTACTAAACCCCCTTTATCATTCACTATAAAATAGTTACTTTTATGTAATGTGAATTTCACTTCAATTAAAAAAGGAGGGAATACAAGAGAGGTTAGTATTTCGTGAGGGGAAGTGAGGAAGGGAAGGCTTTCATGAAGGGAAAGTCAGGGAGAGAAGGGCTTTTTCGAAGGAGTTTGGGACGGGAAGACTTCTTGCAGAGTAAGAAGGACAGTGAGAGGGCAGGGAGTGATGAACGGAGGCTAGAGAAGGCAGGGCTTTGTGAGGAAGATGGAAGAGGTTGAGGGCAGGGGGCCTTCTCAAGGGGAGGAGTGGGGAGGCGGAGGAACGGGGGAGGGACGCGGAGAGGCAGGGAGGGCGGGAAGTTTTGTGGTTGGCGAGCGCATCACCACAGCCCAGCCCCCTCCTCTGCCGCCATCATCGGTTCCCTGCCCGGCCCTGAGGCAGCACTTACCAGGACTCATATAGTAGCACAGCAATGGCAGGACCCAGATGCAGAGTATAAGCAGCCTCAGGCGCTTGTGGGCCCACATCTTCACCAGAGAGCGGCGAGTCTCAGCACGGAAGCCACGCACAGATGCCTGCCAGCTGGGCTGAGGTGTGGCAGCCATGATGGCCTCCTGCCCGGCATTGCTGCCTCCTGGATGCGACCCAGTTGCCGGGATCTCCACATTGCACTCCGCCTCACAAGCTACCAGCCTTGAGCTCGCCCCCCGAATCCCCCGGCTCTTCGACCTAGTCCTCCCCCGCCGCCTTCGCCTCCCCTCTGAAGGCATGGCTCTAGCTTCCCACCTAGCTGAGGTGTCGCCTCACTGCCCAACGGTCCACGACCCAGAAGCCCCCGGGGGCAGCCTGTAACCCAGAAGCCCCTGGGGTGGGGACACTCGCGTTTCGAGTGCCAGCCCTCGCGAGGTCTGAGGCTGGTTCCTTCCCAGTGATGTCTTCTGCATATTCGCACAGGCCCTGCCCCCTTTTAGCCACTTGAATTATAGCTGGTGCACCCCACACCGACTCAAGGCCTGGCCTTTATGGGTGTTTGTTAAATGCTTGTTGAATAAGCAAATGGGGCCTGCACCAGTAGCATCGCTGCTTGTCATGGATTAACAAAAAGGAATAAGGAATTCAGATGCCAGCCTTGGCTGCTAATTCCTCCTCATGTCCATTCCTAGGACATACATTATAGCTGCTACAGTCACAACAGTTAGTCACTACAACAGATGCTAGCCCAATGTGGCTATATAAATGTCAATTGCAATGATTAATACCTGAATTGCTTCTTGGCCTTCTGGCTAAAACCAAGTGTAGTTTCTGTTCTTAACAGTTTAATGATTAATAATTGAAATGAAGAAATCAGTTCCTCAATAACAGTAGCCACAATAACAAGTGTTTGATCACTGCATTTGGCTCTTGGCTGCCATCTTAGTGTCAATATGGAGCATTTCCATCCTGGTAGAAAGTTGTCCTGGGAAGTGCTGGATGTAAACAGAGTGATTGTAGTGAATATGGTAGATGTCCAATAGATTGCTACACTATGATAGAAGCTTTTAGGTGAAACAAAACAGTATTTGCCTTCAGAGACCTCATAATTGAGTTACAAATAAATGAAACGGTAGGACAATATGAGAATAAATAGTGTATGAGGAACACTGAAGAATGACAAAACACTTAGATTTTATTCCCCTAATTGCCACCCATGAAACCCATGAACTGGGTGGCCCTAAGTAAGTGCCTTTCTCTCACTAGGCCTCAGTGCCCCATGTGTAAAATGAGAGGGCTGGATATTGTTTATAAGCCCCCTTCTGCCTCTAAAATCTGACTCTTGGGCAAACTCCCATTAACTCCATTGGTTTGGGAGGTGATGCTTCCATAGCTGTTAGCTCACCACATTCTGGTTTATAAGGGATGTGAAAACTACCCCCCTAACTGTGTTTCCAGTTTCATTCTTACTATATTATATTCATTTTCCAAAGGATTTTATGCTAATTGTATTCTATTGTTCTTTCCAAAGTTAATAGTCATGTTATAGGGGGAGGGAGGGGCAAGGTTTCCTATTCCAATAATTGTTGAAACTTAGCACACTCTATCCACTCCTTCCAATGCCCAGGAGCAATTCATAATGCTCTTTAGTTTATTAAAGGGTCTGATAGGAAAAGAACATGCTTTCCTTTTCTTTTACCTTTTATTTAATCCTTTTTTGAGGGGGCCTCAACTTTTCCAAAATCAATTTGACCAGAGGACCATTGTCCCACAAAACACTGAAACTTCAGCTTCTGAAACTACTGCTTTCAACTATGAGAAACTATGAAGTGTCCTCATAAAGTGTTATTCTACACTATGAAGTGTTATTCTACTTCGAATAAAAAGGTAACCGGCTACAGTTTTGTAGGTGCTGGCAGAAAATGCACAAAGGACAAAAGCTCTTCTGAGACTTGCAGAAACTCAACAGACCTATGGAGACTGCCTCCCAACAACAATCTTATTCACATCACAGCACATGTGGGAAATGATCATGTGACCAGACACCACACAACCACCCTGAGGGTGTACACGGGAGGAGAACACAGCTCTTGACTACCTCACAGGTTGAGCTCTCTTAGCCTTGGTTTCCCCTTCTGCCAATTATGACACCTTCCAGCTTTAACAGACTAAGACTCATACTTGAATATAGCATTTGAGTTGTTGCAAACAGGTGAGGCATGACAGTTCTACTACAATGCAATACTTCTGAGCAGCCCACATTATACTAATATAAACTCAAGGACAAAATCCCTACGATTACACCTGATCACTCCCTGGTTTGCACAACACTAATTCGAGATTGAGGCCACAAAAAGCCATACGAAGTGTCCATTTTATAGATTATCAGATGTAAATTTAAAATCCTGAAACTGGTGTTCCTCTTTTATCCTATACCCTCAAGAGAGCTAAATTTGATACTAGCCAACCCAGACCTAATTAGGGATGAAAATCTGTTGCATAGGCATGAATACAAGAATTGCTTTATGAGATGGTATGGTTTTCCACAAGAACTACTGTTCTTGTGGAAAACTGAGAATTGACACTGTTTTTTTCTTATCACCACAGACAGACATGAAACGATGCTCAACCTCAGGTAATTAGAGGAATACAAATTTAAATACAAATAAGCTCTCATTTTACACTCATCAGATTGGCCACAAAATCAACAAATATTCACAAGAATGTGCAGAAATAGGAATTCAGTCATTGTCAGTGGGGGGTGGGGTACCAATGGGTATAACCACTTTGAAGTTTGTTGGACAACACTTTGTAAAGTTAAATACCCACATGTTCTGTGATCCAGAAATTCTTTTAGGTATCTACCCTTTCACCCATGTGTATAAGGAGACATGTATAAAGATGTTTATTGTTACAGTGAAAACAACACAAAGGGTGTCTCAGTAAGAAAATGGAAACAAACTATAGTTCATTCTTACAATGTATAATATAATGTTGAATGATCTGTGTCAATCACCCAAGCTAACATAGTAATTCTCTCTCTTTTTTTTTTTTTTTTTTTTTTTTGCTGGTTTGCCTACTGGCATGAGGTAGTAGTCTCAGCTTCTAATTCAGTAGAATTATTGTTGTATTACCTGAAAGAAATATTCCTCTCTCGAATAAGCTTCTAAAATAGCAGAAATCATTATTGTGGGGATGAGAAGCAAAATATAAATTTTTTTTCCAAGTGGATCATTGGGTATCATTCTCACCATCACCCCTTAGTTCTTAGCCTGATGTATTCTGGTCATGCTAGAAACAGCACCATATGTTGATTACTGGTTCTGGTTCAGAGTATAAAACTCATTCTATAAGATGGTACCCCACACTCACAGGGCATTTTCTCATAGGTGGTATCATAACTAGGTCTTCATGAGGTAATTTCATGGCCAGGAGTGGTGGCTCATGCCTGTAATCCCTGCACTTTGGGAGGTTGAGGCAGGAGGATCACTTGAGGCCAGGAGTTCAAGAACAGCCTGAGCAACATAGCAAGACCCTATCTCTACAAAAAATTTTTAAAAATTTAGTCAGGCATGATGGCATGCACCTGTAGTCCCAGCTACTTGGGAGGCTTATGCAGGAGGATTGCTTGAGCCCAGGAGTTCAAGGCTGCAGTGAGCCATGATAATGTCACTGTACTCTGGTCTGAGTGACAGAGGGATACCTTATCTCAAACACACAAAAAGAAGTGATTTCATTATTTTGTTAGGCTAACTTCTTCTGGGTGAGGTGACACATTGTAAAACTAGTGATGTCAACAGGTCTCAGTCCATTGCTGCATTTCTATTAAGGTAATGTCAATTCCTTCATTGGCGGCAATGTTGTGTGAGATATGATGGTCGTGTATAACATATTCAATAAATCTATAGATGATAGAGCTAGCATATGTGTGCTAGGCAGGAAAACAAATCCAATCTTGAATGAGAATATATTTAAATAAGGAAAAAAATAATTTCCCACTCTATAATGAAGGGGTCCAATGTAACCGGTCCCAAGGTGGCTGGATGGTACCCATAGTATATGGTACCATATCAGGGGCCCAGAGTTCACAGCTGCTGATGAAAAATTGGACATTCAAGCAGCAGTAATAGTTTTAGTGAGGAGAAGTCCACATTATTAAATCCACACATAACTTTCATCTCTGTCTCCATGGCCCCTTTGTGCATGAGCCCATTAATCAAGCACTGGGGTACCTGAGGAAAGACTCTGGTTGACATCCACTGAATGTCATTAAGTCCACCTGATTATTTAGCACCTTTTCTACAAACAGAAACTTTTGGTGAATATTTGCACACAAGACATATATGCTAGGACAATTTGCATACCTCTTTCCAAGATTTCCTTGTTATCTATCCTCCAGCCCATCCAGCTGCAACATTAGCCTCTCCCAGGAATCACCATAGATCCTTGTCACAGCCCTTCTCTCCTCCCTGGCAAATGGGACAACTTTCAGGCATAGGGGACAACCAGATATACTGCTCCAAGTTCAGCTCACCAGGAAAATTTTCCTTCCTCACTATCCTACGGATTACCTGTGAGTGGAGCTGTAATGTCACAACAATCTACTTACTCCTAAGAGAGAACTATTCTCTCCTCTTCCTCTAATCATTGTTGTCTCTGGATGAGCTGCAGCCACCTTGCTGCCAGTATAAGGATAAAGTGTACATGGAAGATGGCAGACAAGAGTGACAGGGTGCCTAATGATACCTGCATACCTAATGATATCATTGAGCCACCTTGAAACTTGACCTATACTGGAATTTCCAGTTGTGTGAGAAAATACATTTCCCAATAGTTTTAACCACTTTGCGTTAGAGTTTCTGTTTCTGGAAGCCAAATGCTTCCTAACAAATATGGTTGTCCAACCCGTCTCACTAGAAGAATATCACAATGTGCAGTATTTAATCACATAGCCCAAATCCAATGCTATCAATAGAAAATACCAAAAATTTGTTTTTTATTTTATTTTTTAAATTCATAAATATTTATTACTCATAATTCTATCAGTTCTTTATTTTTAAATTTAATAATTTTTATTTCAAAATATTAAGGGAGTACACATGTTTTTGTTACATGGATGAATTGTATAATGCTGAAGTCAGGGTTTTGACTGTGACCATCACCAGAATAGTGTACATTGTACTGGTAAGTAAGTTTTTATCCCCCTCCTCTCTCCCACCTTCCCACCTTCCCTCCTTCTTAGTTTCCAATGTCCTTTATGACCATTTGTATGCACTGTTTAGTTCCAATTTATTAGTGAAAACATGTGGTGTTTGTTTTTCCATTCCTGAGATACTTCACTTAGGATAATGGTCTCCAGTTCC